AATTTGGCATCTCTACCAGAATGGATCGGCAACCTCACATTACTCCAGCAGCTCCATATTAACAATTTTCCTAATTTAACATCTCTACCAGAATGGATCGGCAACCTCAAATCACTTTCCGATCTTACAATTGGACGCTTCCCCAATCTGACATTACTACCAGAAGGGATGGGCAACCTCAAATCACTTCAGGAGCTTTGGATATTCGATTGCCCTAATTTGGCATCACTCCCAGAAGGGCTTCGTTGCCTCACCTCATTAAAAAGTTTGTACATTTGTAAATGTCCCATCTTAGAGCAAAGATGCCAGAAAGAAACAGGTGAGGACTGGTCCAAGATTGCTCACATCCTAGACATTCGCATTGATCCATCGCCTGGTGCGTTTTTCTAACTAATTTCTTTCTTTTGCATTCACACTTTCATTCAAATGGCAACCAATCTCAGCTTGTTCATTTTCTTCTTTTTCAGCTCCATTTTATTATTATGACTAAGGGTTGGGTCAGTGGAGATTGGGCCCCCACTAAAAACTGTTATGGCTTGATTGTGATTGTGCAACAGCAGGTCACCAAGAAAGTGGTATGTATGTATTAGATGATGAGCCCTTGATCCTAACATTGTTTTGTTGTTGGTATGTTCACATGATAATAACATTCGGTTTTGTTTCTTATTTTTCTTTCATGGATATGCAGTGATTAAAAGAAGAAACTGATTAGGCATCCTGGCTTTGATCATACAATACAAGTGACTCTCAGTTGTTGTACATGTGATGAATTTAGGTAATTGTAACTCAAATTTCATCAAATTTCATGATTGCTGATATTTATGAATTAAATTCAGATTGATCTGCCGACAATGAGGTTAATTCCCTTTATTATTCATCGTTTGGTTGTACTTTAATTAATGATTGATTGGTTGTACTTTAATTAATGATTGAGTGATAGCTTGGTTGTTTAAATTGAGAGATGTAAACATTCATCTTGTTAATTAATCCAATTATCATTTTCATACAAAAATATGAAAAACTCATCGTAAACAACTATAATTTGTAATGTTGTTTATTCCATAAATTGTGAATGATAAAATTATCGTTTTATTTTTACAAGTTTTTTTTGTCTAAAAAAATTGTGAACTTCTACACGTCAAACCATAGATGCGGATCGGAAGAAAATATTTAAAGAATTTGCCAGCAACACCCTTCTTTCCCTCCCTGGAGGAGAGCAACTCATTCTAAGTCTAAGCTGCGGAGAAAATGACATCACTGATATGAACCATAACAAAAGTACAATGACCACAGAAGATGGCGGTCAAAGCAAACTTGCGAAAGAATAAAAGCATTATAAAAAAAATAATACTTTTTTTGTTAAATTAACAACAAAACATGCCTCCTCCTCCTAGGCACAGTTGATCTTATTTAGAGAGCTGAAGCACGATTTCACCTTTTAAATATACAAGCAGTAACTTACAAAGTAACGTAATGAAACAAAAATGATAGTTAGTTGCACTAGGTATTTAACACCCTCATCAAGACCTCATCTGTGCTTCTCACCCTCTCCCCTTCCTTCCTGAGGAGGCCTTACGCTTCGTTCAACCACAACAAAAAATAATAATAATAAAGGGAAACTCACTGGAGTCATAATGCCACCTATATATAAATCATGATTAGGTGTCTCCTTTCCTGGCAGTGTAGTTAGATGACAGTCTTCTGGCCCATGAGCTTTGATTAGGTGACCATGAAATTGGAGGTTCTCTTCAGAACCTTTAAAAAGCTGTACTATTCGTGATTCAGCTTCCGTGTCTTCAGCAAAGATGAAGTCATCCTCAAATTCTGCCTTTTCTGGAAAGCTACCATCTTCTTCACATATCATGCGCATACTCAAAACCTGCAGTGCTTCCATGGCCGTGCTGTGAAAACCACTGTTGGCATATGCAGAGAAAACAAAATGGCAGGTCGCTGGATCCGGCTGGACTTTTTCATGGTGCATCCACTCAACGACAAATTCAACTACCTCAATCACTTCCTGATATTTATTGCAGGGGAGAAGAAAAATATATATTACTAACGAATAATGCAACCACAATTTTTGTGGTTGATCAAATTATAATCATGTATATCAAGAACCATGCTGCTCTTTTGATCTTATGAGATACCTTTTCACAGGCTTTTTCAAGAATGGTATTAAATAGCAAGGTATCAAGTTCATTGCGTTCTGAACTGGCTTGATCCAAAAGATTCAATGCTTCCTCAATGTCATCATCTTCCAACAGAATCTGGAACAAAACAAGATTCAACATCTTCCTCAAAGTCATCATCTTTAACTAAATTACTTATATTTCAGAGAAGACAAAAATGTAACTTTCCTTTTGTTTTCTTTTTCATTTTTAAAAAATGAACTCACTAATTGTCTTCATTTAAATATCTTTATAAACATTTGAACTTTCCATAAATGAAACTTATGAGGACAACAAAAAATTCTCTTTTTGTAAGAGTTCTTACTTCATCCAAAAATGTGGTCATGCAATGGGCTATCAAAGAATTTCTATAGCTTATCTATTCAACTTGAAATGAAGTGCATTCTCAGACCCCAAAAAAAAAAAATGAAGAAGAAATTAAGTGCATTCATATATTGCAAATACTCTAGTCAGAAAAAATAATAATAATAAAAAAAAGCATGAAGAAGGATAAAGGAAGGGGTTTTTATGTAAACAAAGCAGAACTAAAATGTGACTAGTTTGCACATCAAGAGTTGGAAAAATTACACTTTTCGATCACATACATAAATGGTAGCAGTTTCCTAAGATGCATGATAATTCAGACTGAGTAATCATAATATCAAAGCTACCTTTATGAGAATGGTATAAGTCACTGTTAGTGGATAAAAGCCATCTCGCAACATCATGGAGACCAATGCGCAAGCAGATCTGTAACATCCTAGAATGCTACAACAATCAATCATTATATGATAAGTCGCAGCATCTGCAGGGAAACCAAATGACTTCATATTTTTAAATATCTTAATTGCCATTTGACTCTGCATGTAATCAGAAACAGAAAAGTGGATGAACACTGGTCCAATATTTCACATATCATGAAGTTGCAAATGAAAGGAAAACCAATGGTGATGAAAACACCTACTTCCTTAGCCTCAACAAGTGAATGCAGCACCGTATTATAAATAGGTGTTCCCAGATAAATGTTATTACGACAAAATATATTCTCTGCCACGTCCAAATACTGGATCAGCTCTCTTATCATCCCCTCTGCTCCAAGTGCTTTCAACTGGAAGAACAAAAATTGAATGTCATAGATGAGGCTAGTGGGACAGGGGAAAAAGAAGGAAAAGAAAAGGAAAGAATGCTAGAGTAGGGTTCTAGATAAGGAAAAATAAATAAAATAACGACAGACCCCTTGGTGGAATGTTGCAGAAAGGAAGCTGGTACAAAGAACACAAGTTTTACTCTTTTCAAGCAAATAAGCTTCTAGAAGACAACACAAAAGTTGTATATTGATCTCAAATAATCAATATTCATGCAAAAATAAGAAGTCATGAGTGAAACTCCCTGCATGGACATGAAAGTTTTTAAACACCATAATTTATCTTCCTTCTGTAGATGGTGTATGTTCTCCTTTTAAAACTTTTTTCACAAGCTTTGATGTGCAAGCTCAAGGAAATAACTACAGAGACCAGGCCTAAGAGGCATGGAAACAATATCCCCGAAAAAGTAATGATGCATATGACGTACGTCTTTAAATAATTGGCATTAGTGTTGTACGCACACAGCTATAATTTTTTACTACACCAAATAAAATTCTATCACAGTATCCATTGTTCCCTTTCTCCTTAGCTGCAAGCGAAACTAACAGCCACAATAGGTGAAAGATGAAGTTCGTATATGAATTTTTTAATGAAAAAAGTGTATATAATCATGCTCCTTATACCTTCATTTTGAATGGAGAATCTGTATTATCTTACCTATACTATTTGATAAACCATGTAAAATACGCAAGATTTTCTCCAGTCACCTATCAAACTATAAAATTTTCTAAGTGTGCAGTCATGCTGATATTCTTAAGGTTTCCATGTACAAAACTATGCACCATGTTTCATGCAGTGTTTCCGTAGATAAACATCATAACCACTAAAACATCTTAACCATAGCAGATACTAAGGAACCAGTGTAAAATAAATAAATAAATATATAAAAACGATAATTTTTTTAAAAAAAATAAATAAATAAAAAAAAAGGATAATAACAAATGCTTATGTTGTACAGTGGAAGCAGAAGACAAATTCCATACTGTCTTCCACCATACACATACCAATGACCCTTGTCAATCAGAGGCAGGAATATGCCACCTATCAATGCTCCATTTCATTCTCTAAACTAAAAGGAAGTATACATGAGGGTAGGGGGTTACCAAGTTCTTCATTGATAAATAACTGTGCTGAATACCATATCTGGCCATATCCATTTCTATAGCATTAATACGTTTAGCAGCATCCACCTGTGACAACATGTCACCTTCTTCGTATGGGGCATTCACGTTACCAAATAATGAAAACAGCAGCTCGTATGTCCTAATATCAGGCATAACTTTTAATTGTTTCATTTTAGCCAACATCTGCACTGCTCGTTCAGGTTGATCCTGCATAGTTCATGCAACAATATTTGAATTTACTGGAGACAAACATGGAAAAAGCTTTCAAGCGCTGGAGAATTACAACTGAGCATAAAACAGATGAAACTTTCATAAGATGACGAAAATAAGAAAACAGAAAAACATATCCTAATCAGTGTTTTAAATCGCTAAAGCGTTACCTCCCATGAGGGGAGGCGTAAGCCTCGAAGTGTAAGATTTTTAGGCATTTCAAAGCGTAATAAAAATATATATGAAAATAGTGAAAAAAATAGCATGATACTTACAAATAAATAGTATAATATTTATTTGTTATTTGTTACTTATTAAATACTCATATATATAAAACATTAAAAAAACATATAGTGAGAAAACAGAAAAACATATCCTAATCAGTGTTTTAAATCGCTAAAGCGTTACCTCCCATGAGGGGAGGCGTAAGCCTCGAAGCGTAAGCTTTTTAGACACTTCAAAGCGTAATAAAAATATATATGAAAATAGTGAAAAAATAGCATGATACTTACAAATAAATAGTATAATATTTATTTGTTATTTTTTACTTATTAAATACTCATATATATAAAACATTAAAAAAAAATATAGTGCATAGCAGATTAACTAAATTAAATACGTAATCTATTATTAAAAAGAAGGCTTTAAAGGGTCTTTGAAAGACCTGTGCCTTGAAAAGAACTTTGAATATGTAATTTGTTCTTTGTAATCTATTAAATATGGAGATTAAATAGCTAAGTAATTTTGTTATTTATTTCATGGTAAAGTTGTTGGAAAGGGTCTTTGAAAGACCCAAGCCTTTTTCCAACAGTTGCTTCGAAACACCCACTCCCTTATTAAATTGAAGGACCCAATGTCTTACTCTCCACTTCTGACCCAATTTCAAAGCTCCCATGGCTCTCTCTCTCCATGGCTCTCCCACTCCATCTCAAATTCGGTAACTGTGGTTCTAGCCACTATGTTGCTGGAGAAAACACTAGAAAATCACCTCAGAGATGCCAAAATGTTTTGTTTTTAATATTGGGTTTTCAAATCCCAGGCCAAACGACATCGTTTTTCTGAGTCTTCCCAAAAGGCTTACGCCTCTAAGGGGATGCATAAGCCTTGAAGAAAGGCGTACGCCTCAGTCCAAAAGCATACGCTTTTGGTGACTTAGCTGCGCCTTGAGGCATTCCGACCGCCTCGCCAAGAGGCGCACCACAAAGCACGCCCAAGGCGAGTTATTTAAAACATTGATCTTCATTGATACTTCTATCATGCTGCCCTCTGCTAGCATATATACCGAGTTTTGATATGCCCATGTTACATAATGCCTATTATTAGAGCCAAACACATTCATTTCCTATGAGAACAAGAATGAAGAAGCATAACTTGAACAAAGCTCTTCCTAACATTTACAATATTGAAAACCATAACTAAATCTCTTAAATTAGCATCCAAACTAACTCTACTCTTACTCTTATAAGATATTCAAAAAGTTCAGGGACCAGGATGTTTTCTTTTCTTTTGTATAGGGACCAGGGTCAGCACCCTACATCATAGACTACCTATTTCTGGTGGATATTAATTTTATAATTTTAGAAGTTTTAATTAACAAGGCCACATAAAAGAAAATTTTCTGATACAAGAATTCAGTTCTATAAAATATGACTCACCACTGTGTCACATGCTGCAAGAAAAGCATTGAAAGGATGTGGATATGAACATTCAGATATTTGATCCAGCAGAGCCTCAGCGTAATCCAATTCGAGCACTTTGCTGCAACCTATAGAAAGGCTTGCCAGAGTAGAATCATACGGCTTCAAATTTCTCTGCTGCATAATTCTTAACTGCAGAAGGATAACAACAATGTTGCAAAAATCTCTAATTAAAAACAAAACCAAAATGCACAAAATACATTGCCAACAATTGCCAGATCGGTATTTTTAAGATGATTGGCCTATGCAATAAACCAATATAACTTACAATTTCCATTCCACTACTGAAACCTCGCTCAGAAGTAACTGCTCTGACAAAGCCATCATATGTATGGCTTGACGGCTGCAACCCAAATTTTTGCATCTAGACAAAAATGGGCTCCTTTAG